GACTGCCCACCCTCGTCCCACGGGGTGTTCCCAAAACTTCGAAAACGGACTGCAAATAGGTATTCCGAGAATACCTTCCCGGTTCTCGTTACCTCGTTACCTCCTGGCAGATTGACTAACGAAATTAGAAGGCAGACCAAGGTCCACCTTTGTCCCGTCCTTCATTAATTTGAGCCTAACTACGAAGCGCAGCCCGCGCTGCGCGTAGCTGCCCGAGGTCCCTTTGGTCCTGGGCTCCCGCGGCGCCGATCTTCGCCTCAGTCTTTACGAGACAGGACGCCTCACTCCGTTCGAGCGCCGCGTGGATCATCGCGCCGGATTCACCGAACCGATTAGTCCTCGCCTTCCCGGAATACTTAATTAATTACCGGCTCAGAGCTCGAGATATAAACTCGGCCGGCGAGCACGATACGCGAAGCGTGAAATGACGCTGCTCTCCTCCGCCAACTATGATCTCTTTTATTAGCTTCGTTACTCTCCGCTCTCCGTCACAGAGACTGACTCCTATGAAAAATGAGAATACGAGTGCTCCGTAGGACGGAGTCGCGTTGTCCCATCTTTTAATCGTCCTACGATACACGCCTGTCTTACAATCAGTCTATATGGTGAGGTCGGTATGTAACTTTAACTATAGACACATGTACAGGTAGTTTCAGTCTCTCTTACCTTGCAGCCCTCGCACGTAAACGCACCGAAATGAAATCCCGCAGCCGGTTCGCCGCAGACCTTGCACTGTTGATTCATCTGCAATTATAGAAATAATATTATTCGATCTAGAAGAGAGAATAACGAGGGAGTCTGGGCGGACGAAGAGGAGAAGGAAGAAGGAGGTACTAACCGGTTTTCTACGTTCGCCTCAGTTTTTATCCAGGACCCCGACGTTTTAGACGTTTACACTCGATTTCGACAACCGAGAAGACACGCGAGTATTTACAAATCCTAATTATTATGATTGTCAAGTTTTTGGGCAATCGTCTTTTTTTTCAAATTTAAATTTCAAAATTATCCCTCACCGTGTCTCTTTGGCACTATCCCGGACGGGCATCTATCCTAGGACCCACCGTTTCTGATGGCACCTCCTCCATTAGGCCACGTCCGAATCATCGCTTTATTATAATGAACTTAAACTCGTTCCCCGTGTGACTCTTCCATAAATCAGCGCTATCTCACATTTTTACGTGCCGAGCCATCTGCCTCCTCTCTCGCTAACCCACGGGCGACCCGTACCGAACCCCAGAGACAAGCGCATTTTTTGACTAAACTCGAATAAAATTAGAGCGCCATCTGATAAGGAGGAACTTTACGAGTCCTTCCTTCGAACTTACGACATCTGCTTACTATTCGTATCCTGAATTAAGTTCCTTCGCTTCCTACTAATTTTCAAACTGATACACGTATGTACAATTGTATACGTATACTTATCCCATATTGTTTTCTCTCGAGTTTTCAAAGTGAACCTGCTTGGACTCTGTAGATTTATATACGTATATACGCACACTATTGCTATCTTACTAGAGTTTGGGAAACCAGTCGTGGTTGGCGGTACTGAAGTTTTCTTGGTACCCGCCAGCCGCAAACGTGGAAACGCTTAACCGATACGATTGCGACTTTTGTCTCGCTCGGAATGTCGACTTGGAACTTTCACTAATTGCGTACTGTTATCATGTCTTGCGACTTACTGCCATGGCAAATGGGAAAAACGTGAGAAAATTCGTGTTCTTCGTTACGTGGCTGATCTTTCGGGATCCGTCCAGATGTTTATCGTGCTGCTGCTGTTACGCGCAAACGGCTGCGGATACGTGAAACTAACTCGGTGGTTTCTTGTGCAATTTTTATCCCGAGAAATACGAGCGCGTAATTCGTCCGTTTGAGAAATACGAAAGAGATCGACAGGAAATTATTTTTCATCCATCCGAAAGATTGGTACGATTGAGTATTTGAAAAAATCATTTTACAAAGTCTCAAAGATTCAAAGTGAAAACTCTCACGAGTTCCCCATAGAAAAACAAAAGACCCATCCGTACGTTCCGTAGGAGGAATGAACTTTGCGGATTTTCCCGTTGGAGAAAAGTGGATGATAGCGCGCATGCGCGCTGCGGCTCTTAACCGCTAACTGAACTCCCAGCATCCCCGTAAGGTTTTGCCGGGGGTCCAACTGGAGTATTTTAACGAGAATCAAGAGTACCTGCAATTAGAGCTTCTCGGGCGCCGATACGGCACGGCGGCCCTTCGTTTATTTATAATTACGTTAAGCGACGTAGATGAAGTTCCGAGGAATCGCGAGCGCGACTGACCGAGTCGCTCGAACTTGGCCGCAAACGAACCACCGGAGAATCCGAGCGGCTTCGTTAAAAGTTTTCAACTTTTTTATCGGTCCAGTCGTTTGACATCAATCCCGAGCTCTGGCCAGGGTGCAGTTAACGAACAATAGGAGTAAACGGGAATCAAAGTCCTTCGACGACTTACGGTTCTGGAGACTCCGTCGAGTGTCACTATTTGGGCCAGGCCAGAACGAACGGCATCTTTTATTGAGGCGGTAGAAGAATTTCATTACGCGTTATCAGGAGATCCTATCGCGAGTGATTGAGGACGACGCGAATTCGTGTCCCGAAGCATCGGGTCCAACTGACTTGTTTCTGACTTCGGCGAAGGTTACAGCTTCCAGCTGTTTACCGGTGTAACTGCTCGAATACATAAGACCTAACCTCACCCCGTGCAACGTAGCCTGTTAAACACACACGGACATCGCGTTAGCCCAGTTTCGTCCGCGCGTCAATATTTGCCAACACTTGTTCGTTAATGGAGTCAATCGACACGCAGCCTCTTTTACCTGCTCCAAATATCGACTTACCCAGTTCGCAGCACGGGTACCTACTTTGCTCTCGGCTAAACCCACAAGGATCACGAGGGGAAAGAGACTCGATACTTTGACTCTCTGACTCTCAACTTGCCACTTGGGTTTCGCGTTGCATATTTACCGGTTTTATAGTTCCGTGACATTCGAACCTCACAATGGCTTTTTTTTCACCGCTTTTTCATCCCACCTTTCACCCTGGTCCTACTGGATTTTTCCGACCCCAGTTTATGCACCATTAAACCAGACTCCTGGTTGACGTTTATCCCTCTATCATTTTTTTCCTCACCTTTCAGGTCCCTTCGCCCGAACGGGATGCGACCCTTACGTCACGGGACGGCGCGATCAAGGACCAGTTTGAGGATAGGGGGTTCCTCAAGGAGGTGCTGAACGAGAGATTTCTAGGTAAGAGGCGAAAGAGGGGGAAAGAGAGAGAGAGAGAAGGTCCGATGGACCGAGGGGACTCTCGGTGAGGGAAGTAACTAATTACGCGAGGGGCAATCACAGGAGGATGGAGAAAAAGGCTTGTTAAAGCAAATTCTAATCGGTTCCGAAGTCTCTTCGAGTCATCCGCAGCATTCGGTAATGGTCCGAGGTCAGGAGTCCGTATGGCCCGTGATTTATGCTCGACTAGATGCAAAAGTACGAGCCAGTCGCTCAATCATCGAACTAATTAACTCGAAATTTGGATCATCCTAAACGACTCGTGTGATTTTTTTCACCCGCTGCCTGTCAAATTACTGAAGATAATGACGTAAGGCGTTCGAGTAATTGCCTTGGCCGTTCGAATGCCTTTGGACCGTGGTCGGATGATAGACCGGAGACTGGACCGATAGATCAGATTTCCGTGAGCCGTGTAAGTTTAAGATTTTCAAAATGGCCAAGTCATAATTTTCCGGTTTGACGATATTGTTCTTGGTACGTGGGTTTTTCACTTTTCGCTTTATCCACTTCATTCTTTTGTACCCGGGACCACCGAAGTGCTGATCATGTCCGAGGACGAAGAGTCATCCGGACCACGAGTCCCACAGGGTCACCTGGCTTTTCTGACCCAGAAAATTCGAAAAACCAGGACAATGAAGAAAAACGCTAGAATACGTAAGAATGGTGAAAATAATGTAAAAGATGAAAAGAAGCAAAAAAGAAGGATCTTCTTGAGGAAGGAGCCGCTCTTCTTGCAATTTGTATCGGTCGATGCGTTTTTAACGATCACCTTGATGGATGATCATTTTCGTGGCACTCGAGCGACTCTCCTCCGGGAGAGTCCTTGAAAAATGATCCTGGGGACAAGAGAAGGACCTCCTTCGGTTAATGTTTTCGCAATCCACAATGCGCGCCGGGAGCCAAAGACAATTAATAACCAGCCGAAGGATCATTTATCGCGACAGTTTAGGGCAGGAAGGGGGCCATTCGGCGGTCCCGCCATCCTGCCATCCTGCCATCCTGCCATCCTGCCGAGACGATCCAAGGGCCGTCCACATTGTTCGTCTCCTCGGGCCCGTGACCGATCCGATTTTTTAACAGGACGACAGATCCTGGAATTTCGATACACGAAATTTTTGCCACTCGAATGGATAACCCTTTCCACCACTTGTGGGAATCATCCCGAGTGCTCGTGTCTTCCGCTCGCGATTCGATATGCTCGCGTATAAATCGACTGGCAGCTGCCTACAATTCCCTATTCCCTATTCCGATCTCCATTCCTATTCATCGTTCCCTGTAACATACTCCAGAACCGACTGCAAGCTCAGCAACCATACAAATATATCCACTGATCCCAATTTGCAGATCAGGACAGTCACTCCGAATCGAAAATCAAAATTAAACTTCCTACATTATTCCCCGAACGACACCACAACACGGTCCATCGTATAAAATTCTTAAATCCATTTCTTTATCTCGCAACGCGATTCCCCTTCGTACGAAGATTAAAGTCCTTTCGTCTGATTTACAATCTCGTAAAGTCCCAAACGAGCTCGAGGACATCGGCGCCGGTTAAGAAATTACGAATATCTCAAAGAGTCTCGTCGTGAAAAAAAAATCATCCTCCGCTGGTCCATCTCTCTCATTGGCGATTCAAGAAACAATACAATCTCCCCAGCGACAACAATATAAATATTCGCGAATCTCTCGAGGAAATGGGAAAAGTATCTCTTTTACGTAACTCCTTGTAATCTACGGCACGTAGAAGATAAAGGTGTCGGATAAGATAGAAGATAACGGGTAACAGCAGGCGCGTGGACCGTTAAGTCTTCCCGGCGCATCTTCGAACCAGCCAACAAACAACGCTCGGGACTTGCGCGACGCTGACTAAACACAAAGGGGATGCCTGGTGGGAGGCAGCGCGTATGACCCCTGCTTCATTGCTCGCGCATGCAACTGGCTATATGCCTGAGCCATCTCTACACGGCACGAAAGTAGGATAACGAACGGATAGACGTAGGAGAAAAAAAATCAGCATCTCTATCTGGGATCTTTGTTGGACCTAAGAATAAGCGATACGCGTCAAGTACGAGCGTGTGGCCACATAAGTATAGAGTATGAAGTTAACTGACTTCTGAGAGAGAGAGAGGGGGGGGAGAGAGGGGAGAAAGGTGAGAAAGAGTCAATCTTAGGACCACGGACAACCATAGGACGTAGCGGTGGCAAAAAGGCGTTAAGTCAGATCACGACCCCAAGGGCCGGCAGGGTTGCCAAAGGGTTAATATGTAAATCCCATAGACGGCTATACAGGCACACGAGTACAGAAGGTAAGAGTGTACGCGAAGGTCCACACGAGCTCCAATCACGATTTCGACCTTTTACGCGCAAGTTTGCTCCTACAAGTGGGGTAATAACCGTATGAAAGGGTCACAATGGAGACCGACATACCGCAGCCGTTGTTAAAAAAAAGGGGCAATAAATATATTTTGACATGGGAGAGTGTCGCGCGCGTCGCTACCTATGCATAATAATTGTAACGCTCTGTTCCGCGTGCTGGGACCCCCATTGTGCCCAACGAATTACGCCACTGTCGAGGGTAGGCAAATATTGTAACAACAGAGACAATTCACGAGGGTCCTGGATGTGTAATGTTTTCATTTGACGGGATCACGATTATACCGGGTTGCTCCATAAAAGCCCATTCTTCTCCCTGACAACCCCGCGTCCTTGCGGTGCTCCGGTAGGTGCGACTACCAACAATACTCGGAGTCCAATTATTCAAGGCAAAGGAAATAATACGAAAAATATAAGTCCGAGCTCTACAAGCAGCTTTCAAGATCGTCCCCGATATCAATATAAATGACTCACGTAAATACGTCCTACTATAGATCTGTATATACACACATCAAGCCATTCGACACTGTTATACAGCAAATGTCTGCAAAAGTCAAGCGCTTCTCATTCGCCGCGTTATATTGGCGAACCTGAATCCGAAGAAATCGACCGGGCCAATTAGCTTACATATCGACGACTCTATTTACCGAGAGCAAAGAGTTACGACTGTTTATTCCGAGAACTATGAGTCTACACTTAGCGACCTGCGGTAGATATGCGCACAAGATGCTGCACTGTGTAACGTATCCAGCATCCCGATATGTGCCTCGGGTCCATTGGAGATTTCAACGCCAGGGAGATCAAAGGGACCAGTAAATCCGGGGACTTTGATGCTTTTCGACAAGAATCACGCATGACACATAATATTCCGAGTCATGTTGTTGTTGTTGCTGTTGATTATCAGGGCACCCTTCCTAGTGCCTTGTGCTTGCCCGCGGGTATATCTGGGCTGGCTATATGCGTACGTGTGGATGCCGATGTATATATACACTGACCGATCATTCCCGTGTCACTCACCTTTGCTGTCGTTTATATCCCAACGATGTCCAACGCCGTTTGCCGGAGCAACGAGTCACTGAACAATTTTGCGTGTCGATTGGACGCAGCACGTTAATCGAGTTCCTTTACAACATCTTACACAACTCTTGTACCTCTCTTGGAGTACTTCTTGAGAACGGGATATTGTCTCTGTCCCTCTTCTCCTGTTCACACACTTGTCTGTTGGTATAGGCGGATTCCAAAAAAAAAAAAAAAAAAAAAAAAAAAAAAAAAAAAAAAAAAAAAAAAAAAAAAAAAAAAAAAAAAAAAAAAAAAATTTTTTTTTTTTAAAAAAAAAAAAAAAAAAAAAAAAAAAAAAAAAAAAAAAAAAAAAAAAAAAAAACTGTCCCCGGGCACGAAATCTTGTAAACTCTTGGTGTTCCAGGTGTGCGATCTCCTATATCGGTTACGCCGATTGGTTTGGCAATGAAATACGTGGGCGCCGCTGGGATCCTTGATGCTGCGAGGGATCAGGCCGCGATCGAGATCGAACCCGTGGAACGATCGAGTGTCTGTAAATCGCGCGCCGATCTGAAACCGATCTCGATAATTCTCGTGAGCGTGTCCCGCGCGTTTAAATGAGTCTGTCGATCGTGAATTGTGTCTCGTGTCTTAACGAGACACGGTGCGGCCACGTCGATGGACGGGAGAGGACTGGCGCTTCGCGATCTGCGACCTGTTCGACTGCGGAAGGTGCTCGGTCGAACCGATTTTCCTCTGGCAGGGGCACGAACCTGCCCACCGGTTCACGCCCGTTCCGCGTTCCTCCAATGGGATTGGACGCCGACCGATCCTACCGCCAATCCGATCCCTTCGTTTCGTTCACCGACCGGCTCCGGATCCACCCAAACGTTCCTACCTTGTGCCTCGACTTACCGAGAAACCGGCCACCTCGTGCACATCCACCTGAACGGAGCTTCCTCGCACGTCTTCTGCGGGAAGACCGATTACTATTGCCTTACTAGTATTACTACACTCTTTGAGAGCCGAACTCCCTTCTTGCGGTTTTTCATCCTGACCTCTTCCTCCCAGTCTGCTTCTTACCCTTTTATTCTTCTCTTTTTCTCCTCTCATTCGCTTTTACGAATTCCTTACCTTTCTTATATCTTAACCTTGTCTTCTCTTATGACCCTTTTCTGGTTTTCATTTGGCCTCCTCCCCCCCCCCTCCTTCCTCTTTTTGTTTTTCTTTCTTCTCCTCTTCTTCTTCCTTCTCTTCACTCTCGTTGTACCTTTTGCTTTTCTTCTCTCGATTATCCTCCATATACCTTTCGACTTGTCCGATTGCTCTTACCATCAGTGACACTGGAACTTGTACCGATTTCTCTACAGACTTAAATCACTATAGATTAACTGTAAAGGATGCATTGTTCAGCATGCCACTACCGTTTGGTCAGACGATTTTACAGCCGTTTTGTCAAGCAGACCGTCATATTTTTTCCAAAACGACAGATGGTCCTCGATCACCGTTAATCGCAGTGCTGACCGTCGGGAAGCCCGAGACTTCCTATGAATGCTCTAATTTCTGAGTCTCGTGACCCATTGTAGCGACGACCGTAATTATTTTATTGCCCGTGCCAGGACCACGGATCTGGGTTATGAACCTTCGTGAATAATGCGTACAATCGATATTGGCCAATTTATAGATTGTTTCTATACAATCGAAAACTGTCTTAATATAACGATTACGAATTTAAAGCTCAGTACTTTATTTACTGGTACCGATCGACTCGCGTACAGTGCTCTCGCGCAACGCGCGAACCGCATTGGAATTGCAAAAGAATTTTTTTCTCTCTCCTCTTTCCGTTCGTCACTCGTAACTCGTCTCGCGGACTTACGGATTAGAAACTGGGAGATCCAATAAAATGTCGAAATCTTTACGCACGACCGGCCGGATTGCGCGATAAATTAAGGAAGACGTCCCAGCTGTAGAAATTAAATGATAGAAACTGGTTTTTTGGGCATAAAACCTTTCCTTTCTTTATTCCCCTCTCAGATCCGATTTCTTAGTGTTAGCGGTTTTTTAAATGCTGCAACGATCCCCTCTCGCTCCTACCGATCCACCTTACCGATCGGAGCAACTTCTGCCTCCGGACCCCCGATCCGTTCTCCATTCTCCGTTACACGGCAATTCAACCGAATTCCCGCGGATAATGAGAAATCTAGAAAACCAACCGAATTTCACGACTACTAAACACGGGCGTAAATCGAAAGCAGAAAACGCCTCGGGAAAAAAGGACAAACGAGTTCGACCAGTTTATTCGTAAACCTTTTTTCAAATCTCATACAAATTTGATACTTCCTCATTTTTCTTTCGCATTAGCGACCCGTTGAACGAAGCGTTAAGCAATTTCTTTATCACTTTATTACCTCCGTAAATTATCATCCTATTCACTCCTCGACACAGAAAAGTCCTAACTGCGCTTTTTACGGAGCTCTACCAACTTTAACGAAGTTAAGTGAGAATATAGAAAAAAAACCTATGGCAATCCTACCACCACCTAGATGCTCCATGAAAAGCAAATGGCGTTACGGAATAAATCTTAAATCCCACGAGGGTCATTCTTTATTTATCATAGTCAGAATTGATGGCGTAAGAGGCACACAGGAGGATAATAAGAATGAAAATAAAAAGGCTCCTTGTAAATCCGGCAATGTGTAGCAACACGAGAGGCACGTCTAGTCAGAAGATTCGTGGTCAATTGGCCGTACGTAATCCGGATCTACCATGTTCTCCGCTGTGGCAGCATCCGACTTTGTCTATCTGCTTGTCTGTCCGTCCGTACCGTATATATATATATATATATATATATATATATGTATACGTATACCGTGTACTTCACAAGGATACTTCACACCGAAGCCGCTGATGCGTGAATGCACCCGAGAAGGCAGATGGGTCTAATATGGACTCGATTCTGGGTTCAAAGATGAACTCATTCTTCGAAACGCACGGAGGTGTTGCCATGTTCGGCGACACGGAAGGAAATGAAATTTATGAGGTGTGCGCGTTGCGGCGCTGTCGTCGCGTGAGTATTCGCCCTTTTACAAAGGTGAGCCTAAAGGTAATCCATGAGCTTCGAGGCATCGGCCTTGGGAAATGGGACCCGACTACGGCGAAGCGACAGTCACTTGTTTCTCCGTAGGAAAAACGGAAAGCCGCGCCGGGATTCCGCACTGCGGCGTCTTCCTGTCCGCCTCGTAAAATCGTCGTTGTTCGCGCCACGGGGAAACCGGAGTCGCGGGTTATATATTTTCGCGGTTGACAAACATAAAGATCTCGAGCGAGTGGTCGTTCGTTGAGGGACGTTCTGAGAAAGCGGAAATGTAATAAACCTTTTTTTTTCAGCACGTTCAGCTCTGGTCTCGCCGCGAGAATGGGATGAGTAGAGCTAATAACGTCGGTGATGGTGGCGATGCTGTGGTACTGATGACAAAGGATGGGAAGATGCTGCATGGACCGGAGATCAAGGTGCTCCAAATGAAAGGATCTTCGGGTGGAATGCAGGTTGCACATCCAACACATTGAGGTTGGATTTTATGAGTCCTAAATCCTTGGATGGACCAGTTGTCCTCTTATTTTAATTTACGGCCATTTTCTACCGTGTCCAGTAGACGTATACCTATACAATGATGACCGACCGAGTTTTACTCTTGAATTTCGTGAAAAGTGTCACGGGACTTCTGGAGCCGGACAGAAATTCACTTCTGGTCGCTGATGGTGGCTGATCCTTTTGGGATGAGAATAGTCGCAAGGACGTGGTCCTAGGTGGTAGGAAACTGACTGGACGAGAAGGAACGCTCTGTGTGAGAGAAAAGGAGTCTGGACGATGTTCCAGGGTGGGTAACGTAACGTCGCCAAAGATGCAGGTCCTTGCGGAGCCGCTCGTAAAACGTGTCGTAGTAAAAAAAAAAAAAGGATAAGCTGACCCAAAAATACGTTCAGGGATGGCGGTGCAATAAAACGCGATTGAATTTATATGAGAACGAGGACCTTCTGCGAGACCTCGGGGGTTCCGCACCCTTCCGAGCCAGGATGACCGTTTTGTGGGCAAACATCCTTTGGACACGGTCAGCCTGCTCTCGAGTGCCCATTCAGGACGCTGTGACCCGGGGTCCTGCGGCGAAGGATCCTCGCATGTCTCGCATTTGTGTCCCTAGTGGACACACACGGACCCAGGACGAAGCTCGGTGCTCTTTAGCCACCGACGTTTTGACCCAGGCTCCCGAGTGTCCTTAGAACCTGAAAAATATCCGACCTCCCGATCCTATTAGGACTCGTTAAAGCATCCTTTGGCTTCCAGTCGGCGGCAGCCACGCGAGAGATCCTTGCAAATCGCTTTGCGCCCTAAGGGATACTTCGCGTGACTCCACCATTACTCTTGGGCACTTACTCTACCCTTAGGACCATCCTGCTTGTTTGAATTCCCTCATCTTCGCCAGAGTCTCCTTCGCCTTCTCATTGATCCCAGTCAGGATTCTCGGACCACCGGATCAAGGGTACCAGGTCGACAATGAAGAGGATCAACGACCAAGGTCCAGAGTCCAGAGTTCATGGGCTGCTCCCTCTTCTCATTATCTGCCTAGGAACTTGGTTTCCCTAGGACTCCGATTTCCAAGAGATACATTCGGCTCTGCAATTCAGTCAATACAGTACCGGGTATCAAGATGCTGGGATAGGAAAGTTCTGAAACTAAAGGAGTAAAGAAATAGGATAAAGAGAAGGCAAAGGATTTGCACGCTCGCAAATCCTGGAATATTTCTTATGGTCCTGGCCGTGGCGAAGGGCCTCCAGGGCGTGGGCGAATCTCCGATCTACCAGCCGAGTTGGAAGTCACCCCGGAGACGACCCCACGGGAACTGGAAGCGGGCGCGTATCTCGAATCTGCTTTATGTCCTTCCACTGCCGAGTGGTACAGGTACACACGGCTGGAGATACGTTTCAATGATCTATGGTCAGCCGACAAGAGACGTTCCTGCGAATCCTCGGCAGGACATTTGCAGGACTCGCGAGTCTCTGGAATTTCACTTGATTCGCGCAAGGACTAAACAAATTATAACCGAAGGACCTCCGGGTACCGATCGATCCCGAATGCTGTCTACGGTACACGACGTATAGTATACTATATACAACACGTATATCTCATACAGCATCCACTCGTCTCTCGGAAAGGATCTGATCTCAGGACACGAGACAGGATCCTGTCGCAGGACACC